TAGTATGACATGTATATATACATGCATACATCGTGTACATACACACAAACACACGCGTGTATGTTGTATGTATGTATGTATGTATGTATGTATGTATGTATGTATGTATATATATATATATATTCATGATGACCCGGCATCGCCACATGAGGGGGCGTGTTGACGATGCATGATGAGCCGAAATCGCCAAAGGAGGGGTCTGCATAAAATGTGTGATGAACCGGAATCGCCGAATGAGGGGGCATGGCTAACATCTGTGATCCCCCCTGCTGTTGCTGTTGGTGTTGTTGGTTTGTTGCCGCGGGACCGCATGCGGCGGCCCCGGGCCGTTTACCGCGCGGCCGCACCCCACGGGCAGCGGGTCCAGGGACATGGACAATGGACCCCTTGCTCGACCTGCTGCATGATGCTACGTAAGGCATTCACATGCAGTTGAGTGGCAGCTCGGAGATACCAGGTGTGCACGACAGATCAGACAAGGGCCACGGACAAGACGTTCAGGTACACCATGGTGCTTCGAGTGTCTCCATGCATGCTCAGGCAAAACAACTCCAACTTCGCCAGCTTGATAGCCAACAAGACCATTTCTACCGTGGAGTTTCCCGATTCGCTCGTAGTGCACAGTGTCGTAGTGCTACACATGTCCTAATTCCCCGTTGCCCCCCCCCCTTTTTTCAAGCATCCAGAAAGCTGCAGAAGCCTTTTCTTTCAACAATGGCCATGGCGAGCTGATTGGGTCTAAGGCAGATTCACTAGACTAGAGGCGTGCTGGATATGCCCAGGACCCAGAGTCCCCAGCTATATATTTAGGGGTTTTTTCCCTCTATATATTTAGGGGTTTTTTCCCTCTATATATTTAGGGTTTTTTGGTTTAGGGTTTAGGGTTTTGGGGTTTAGGGTTTAGGATCTATCTATCCAAATAATTATCCATCTATCTATCTATCTGTCCAGGTGACCAGCACATTGCTTGACTGTGGCAGGCAGCTTAAAATTCCGCCACACTTCACAAGTCCCTGTCCCGGCGGCGCCTTTGCTCCGCAGGATAGGCGTAAGCACCTCTCCTCTGGGCAAACAGCTGCTTCAAGCTGGATCCCGATCCTGAACTACCCAAATAGCCCAAAGGGTCCAAGCTATAGTATAGCATATACTTTTGTGGGCCCAAATACCTACAAAGCAGCTGCAATATTACTACTTGGACCCTTTGGGTAGAATGAAAGCTTCTCTAAACACTTCGAGCAAACTTAAAGCCCGTCACCCCTTCAAGGGGAGACTCAGCCTGACGTTTGCAGCGCGTTCTTCTCATGTCTCCTAGACCCACAGATTCGACAGAATCAATGAACACATACATCCAAGTGTAAAAAAACGTAACTTAACCTGCTAAAGCTGCAACTACATGTTGCGCAGATACGCCGTGGCGATGTGATGTGAACTGGAGGCGCTCGGCGCACACTCTTCTTCCACAGACGTGTCCGCCGAGTTGAGGATTCTGGTTACACTTGTAGGACTTCATCGAAAACAGATGCTACCACAGCACACCCGCAGCATCCGTCACAAGACCCAAAGACATCTCAAACCTACAAATCTCCCTGTCCTCGCCTCCTCGACAAACTGGCTCTGAATCAGGCGCCCCATGCCGCCGACACAGATTTTTTAACCCTAAGCCCTAGACTTTTGAACCGTAACCTCCAAATTCATATCTGCGAAGGCGCGGCCCAGAGCCCTTTCTGTTCAAAAACTGTCGGCTCGATCACGAAGTTGCCTCTGACTGCCCGGTGCACAGTCATGTCTAGCTATTCGCGCCACTATATTCTCTGCGGGCTTCAGAGTCATCCTAGCGATGCATTCCGGCCAATTGCTCCCGAACAGTCCCGTTGCAACGAGAATAAACTCAAGAACAGTTTAAGGTTGGAAGGCACCCCAAACCCTAACAGCTGCTTCGGCATCAGCCACCGGAACTCAAGGACAGCAATCAAACGTGCCACCTAAGCATAAACATCTATGGCACGTAGGCACTGGACAGGAGAAGGGATTCTTTTGGGTACCCGCCCTTCGCTCCTGACTTCGAGTGCCTTCAGGAAAAGTGAACCCAGGCCCCTCAGGCCTGGAATCGAACACGAGTGTGTCAAAAGGCACACTACAGTAGCTGGAAATCTGTGCCCTTCGACGCGTGGTTCTGTTTAGTTGTGGCAATTCACTGCAAACCTCCCACCCTCGCGTCGACATGCTGTGGTCCGTCTTTAGTTTAGGAAAACTGGAAAGCTGGACCCGTTTCAGAAACGCAGAAGCCTCGAAATGCCTCGAAGCTTAAGGCACCCTCGAGGCATTGCCTGCGATGTCAATGTCAATGTCAATTGAGTCTATCAATGCTGTGCCGGTAGCCGCCGTGGGCAGTGTGTTCTTTCTATTAGTCGATGGTCCACAGCAGCCCTCAACCCTATAAAGCTTACCAACTAAAGTTCATGGTGTAGGAAATGCATTGACAAACTAGGAAACTTCTTCTTGACCCGGCAGCTACGAGTGCACTGCAAAGGTGGAACTCGTCAAGCTTGCTCCCCGCTGCTACGGCTGCTGAAATGCAGATCACAAGACTTGGGTAAAGCTGTAGAGGGGGCTTTCCCTCAGACTTCATTAGCGCTGTTGTGGACTGTTGGGTTTATGAGATGACTTCTCCGGGAACTTCCCAGATGAGGCCAAAAAACAGCCGGCAGCCTTGACAATCATACAAATTCTGGAGCACCTTCCCGTTGCTTCTGTCCACAGGAAAAGATGCGCCGAAGGACGAACCACATACCGAACAAACACAAGGCATGGTCCAGATCTACCTGCTCACCAAACAGAAACACAATCGATGAAATGAGGCAGGCGAGAACGATCAAAGCCATGACCGCACGCATGAGCGGATCCCACGTCGAAGGCGAAGGTGCTGTGGAAATTTCTTTCAGGCGTTTCGAGCTGCTCTTGCCGTTGGACCGGCGTCCGCGTGAATGGCTCGCCGCAACAGATGTCGCTGCGACTGCCAGCCGCGCAGACCGGCTTGGGTTGGCGCTCTCCTTTTCCAGTGCCGCCGCCCTCTGCGGCACGCGCTGCAGAGTCTGGCACCCCGAAGACTTCGAGCCGACACCGCTGTAGACCACAGAGGAATGGGTGAATGCAACGGCCATTGTGCCGGTCGTACTCGACCCGACTACACGCGCTCCACACTACAGCAGGCACTCTGGAACCTTAGGCAACTCTTGCACCAAAAAAGGCTGCAAGTCCAGGTTTTGTGTAGGGTTTTCGGTTTGGGGGGGTCCTATGTGTAGACGGCTCTGAGCTTAGAGTCCCGAAGGCAAGGTCAGTTTCTAGTCCGGATGTTTCGACCGTAGCTCCCTGACATGGGGGGTATCGGTATGTGTGATTCAAGGACGAAGCTTGTGTCAGACTTATTTTGCCTACGACAGCATCGCCATGCAACCATGAAGCTCAAAGCAGATACCCCAAGAGGACAAGTTGACTTGCTTTGCTTTAGACTCAAAGCGTCAGAGGGTTTTATGGAAGGCTTTCGGGTGGAGGGTCTTTGAGACCGGACTGGGGCTTGGGGGTTTTATCGCAGGGCTTCGGGTTATTTTACCACTCGCTCTCGACAGCGTTAGGGAAGAGGTGTTGGGGCGAACTAATCCTAAACTCTAAGACCCTAAACCCTAAACGGTTCAGGGAACTACGCAGGGTGTCCAAGAACTCAGACAGCTTCAGGAATGTAGGGCCGTTGAATGGGACGAAGCAGCCCTGAGGGTTTTGTACGGGAGTTTCGGGTTTAAGGTTTTGCTAAGCGGGACTCGGGCTTCAGGGGTTTATGGTATGTTATGGGATGGTTTCGGGCATAAACATTTGAAGTAGGCTGTCGGGCTCAAGCTCTACTTTTCGGCTCGTCAAGCCCCCGTTCGGGTCAGGGGGGAGGTTTGCTGCGTCCGGAATAATGCCCCATGCTGCGAGTAGTTGAGACCTGAAACTCTTCCTTCTTTGGATTTCTTAGGTATGAAAACAAAGCCAATCACAGTAGATGCCCGAATAGAGCCCCAAGCACCCGTTATGAGATCCCAGCGGTGAGGTTCGCTGCAGGGCTGCCATGAGGCTGTCCAGTTGCTGATGCTGCTCCTGATCGGAAATGTCTCTAAAGACTCCAAGCTTTTGCAAGAGGCTCTTGTGTCGCGGCTTATGGTTGGTGCGCCGTAGCAGGAACAAGGCGAGACGAAAGGCCAATGCTCAGTGGTCCCCTCTCCTGCATCGCATCGGCTGCGGACTGCAGCATGGCCATATCCTCTCAAGCAGATATCCTTAAAAGGCTGTCTCAGAACATACGGGATCGAGCCGTCCGCTACCAAATCGGCCCCTAAATAGACCTTACCTCTCGAGCTTCGGTTTCAACCGTGCTTCTTCCAAAAAAATGAAGGCCATGAAGTGACCTCTTTACCTCTTTGCAGTGTGCTGGAAACCGCGGTTGCACCAAAGCCCAAGAAGCAGTTGTCGTTTCCCGCCGTCATCCTAGCCGTCGTCCTCGGCAGTGTACGCGGCGTAGGAGTAGGAAATAATGATAGCACTAAACGCCGTCGAGGACGAATGAGCAGGAACGTGAGCAGGAACAAAGCGAAAGAGCGATCGAGATTGCATGACCTGGTTTTCATCGCGTGCCCGACTCCGGCGCCGATCATGATGGCGATGATCACCAGTACCACCATCATCATCCGCAGCATCGTCGTCTTCGTCATCGCCGTCGTCATCAGTATCACCATCATCCCCATCCTCGTGATGTGCCGGTGGGGATGCTGGCGAGCACCGTGCCGTACCAGCCAGCTTCCCCAAACCCTCAACTGAACCATAAACCGCCTTCGCCGGCGGTAGTCTCTGGAGCTCCTCACTGGCCTCGAATCACAGCATTCTGTACTGCCGCAGTCTGCTGTGATACATTTTGTTATGCATAAGAACTTGTAAATAAGTTGATATGCACGTATGTG